GTTCTTTTTAATACTATTCCTCTTACCTCACTAGCAGATAGGAAAGAAGGAAGGGAGGAAGAGAGGAAAAGAGGGAGAAAGGGAAGGAGGGAGGGAGGAAGGGGAATCCTAAACACTCCTAGTTTTTCATTCAGGCAAAAACAAACCAAGAACAACTTTGCTTGCGATTTAAGACCCTCTATGCTTTCTGCTACTAAGTATCTGTAAAAATTAATGAAAATCTCCTGGGAAATCCACTAAAAACTTATCCAGGCTGGACTGAAATTCCTTTACAAGGTAAAATAATCCTTTTAGGGTCTTGTTTATAAATAACCTGTCTCAGGTTATGTAATAACAATATCGGGCCAGACCAGTCCATTGGTTGTCGCTTTTACACGAAGGGTCTTCTACCTCCCGGCACTATCACTTTGGGGGGGCTATCTTCCACTTTGCCCTTTTGGTATCAAACAGAAAAATGTCTTTCTCTGGAGACCTTCTCTGACATCCTCCCTCTCATAGCTCTGGTCAAAATGGTGTTTACTCTATCTTCCAAAACATGATACCATTTTTCATGTTACGTATTACATTCAAGGCCCAACTGAGATGCGTTGGTGTCCTGGACTAGCTAACAGCTTGCCATTCCTTTACACCAATATTCTTTAGATATTTGGATGGCCTGAGGTTCTGTCCTCCTTTCACATCCTTCTGTTGTTAGTCAAGCATACCCATGCGGAAGTTTTACCTTACCACATTCCAAACCCTAACCACCCCCTTCTGAGCATCACAGTAAAAACATTTCTTCCAACCACATATATAACACATTTTTGGTCAAATACAACTTTCTCTCTCTGCAATTATAATTAAATTCTTTGCCCTGGGCAAATTCATGGCTTGTCTATGTTTTAATCCAACTCTGTCTACAATTACCAGTTGATTATATGATTTTTTTGCTTAAGTTGGTATATCCCAATAGACTATAAGCATTCAGATAGAAACAGCATCTGTTTTGTTCACCACTGTATCCCTGGTGCCAATAAAATGCCTGACACATGATAGATGCTCAGTGAGTACTTGAATGAACAAATGACTCAATTCATATGACTCATTATCTTTGACATGGATGTGTACATTCACAGTCCTTTGTGTAATGTGACATACAGCAATCTAGTTCTCTACCAGAGACCAGATATGTTATACCAACTTTAAAAGTAATTAGCAAGTACAGTCATCTATCTTTATATGGGTTACTATTTTTTTAATAGCATTTTGAAAATCCAACTCCCCTATCTTATTTTCTTTTGCTCACCCATACCAGATATACCAGTCCTAAGTGGGAATGGAAATAGGGGCTCCCTTTATCACTCAGCTATTTCATTGCTGGCCTAGTACCCAGCTGCATATGTGTAAAATAAAGACTTGAGCAATGAGTGAATGCCCTTTCATTTATTGTGTGGTAGGCAGGCCTCCTCCACTAGACACTTTTACCATCACCTAATTAATAAGTTAAACAATAAAAACTATAAAATGCTATAGAATAGTTATAGAATATGGCGATTATAAAAATTTAATATAAAATAATAAAAATAGAAAATATGGGATGTTTGCAGAACATACTACACTCTCATCCCTTATAACTTGTTGTAGTAACAACTTTGAGAGGTATTTCTATACCAAATTCTTGGGAGCAGTTTTTCCTTTTTCAATTCACTAAGTTTTCTTTTATTCCCTCCAACGTTCTGTTTTTACGAGATAAAAAATTTATGAATGTTATTGCTTCACATATTTTGGGGGAAGATAATAATGATGAATAATTGCAAAAAATTTATGGATAGCTGATCAATACTAGACATTTACACATAAGCTCTTACTTAATCTTCCCAATGATCTTCAAAGATAGAAGTTTTTAATCCCATTTTATCATTGAAGAAAGTGGAGATTAGCAAGATTAAATAACTTTCCCAAGTCCGAAGCTGTCAGAGAACTAGAATTATAACTCATACATTCTTGATCCCAAATCTCATGCTCCGAACATCCATATCACAGTCCATCCAGTGTGTTTATGATGATATAAATGTTTATTCCAGATATGAGAAAACTACTGAGTGAAAAACACTGTATGTAACTGACAACTATACTCATGTAGAGACCAACTTACAGCCTGAGTTTTAACAAACTTCTTCTGCAAAGACATAGTTCCCAGAAAATAAAATTTTGGCAATATATTTTATATGTTATACACTTTAAATGAAAATAATCTCTCCCATAAAGATGAGAATGGCAAATAAAAGAGATATCTCTTTTTTACTTTCATTAGTGCATGAATATTGTAAAAAAAAAAGTCATTGGGCTGGCTGAGTGGTGCGCTGGTTAAGAGTTGGCTTGGGATGCCAGCTCTGAGCAGCAGGGTCCCGGTTCGGATCCCACATGAAGGGCCAGTGATGCTGAGCTCTCGACAGCTAAGATGCTGAACAACAGCTTGACCTGGAGCTGGGCTGCCATGAGTCACAAGTGTCGACGTTGGCTGCAGTGGGGCTGCAGTGGGCGGCCGTGAGCTACCATGAGTGGCGGGCAGCCAGCATGAGCGGCCGTGAGCGGCCGTCCAATGGCTGCCAAGCGACTGCCTCACTCGGGAAGAGCACAATGATAATATCAACATGGGCCAGTGAAGCGACGTCCTCCACAACTAGACTGAAGAACAAAAGAACA